CTCAAAGTGTGGACTTTTAAGATTTGATATTGTTTATGCTATTTTGTGCTTTTCAGCTCCATATGGAGACAGGAGATACACAAGCAGCGCTGGAATGTTGTAGATTGGTAACACCAGTACGTGAAAGTATGTCATTTTCTGTACTTGTACCTAAATCTTCTGTGTATTTACTTCGTTCTTTGTTTAAATTTCTTTTCCAACACACCTGGACTTTTATCTTTTTATACAGGACTATTACAAAGAAACGATCCTGTTCTTGGACGGCACTACTACCTACGAGGGAGGCTTGAAGGGTTAGAAAATTTTCTTTGTGTCTCCATTATCTTTAATATTATGAACATGAAAAGGATGTTTGTTTATTACAGAGTTAAAGGGAACAAAGAGGATGGTCGGGATTATCTGATCAGGGCACGTGATATACTGGAAATTACTCATGGACCAAATTTCCCTTTGGTGAGAGAACTCTTGGATTGTGACAGAATTCTTGGACGACTTGGCCAAGGAACAAGTGGGAGGCCCTAGAGGATCTTGATGTATAGATGAAAATGCATACTTTACTTGCTGAGCCATTTCTAACCAAATTTGATGACGAAGTTGATTCCCCTGCTTGCATGCATGAGTGACAGTTTTTTTTTTTTTGAAGCATGAGCAATGCTGTATATTTGTGTACCTAAACAGCTAGCTTTAAATACTCTATGATCGGTTTAACCACCATTTTTTTTTCATGTATGCTAAGAATTAGTAAACCACCATTCTTATAGTTCTAACAAATAGTGCTTTAATATGTGAATCTCAGCTTTTCACCATCCTCACCATCATATTCAACTACAGAAAGCTCAAGAGTACAAAATACAATTCAAAAGACCATCATGCAGCAAAATAGAAGAAACATAAGCAAAACTGATTACTTTTGCCAGCAAAATGGTAAGTTTTTTCAGCACCAATAACTTGCACCAAGAGGTTTCTTTTACATTAAAAGAGGACCAAGGTTTCCAATAGTACTTTGAATCAAATATTTGGAGACTACAATGAGCAACGAGTACCTGTGAATCCCTTTGGATGTTGGTTGTATCACTCATTATGGATTTGGCAATACCAAAATCAGTGAGTTTTAGGGAACCTTTTACAAGAAGGAAATTGGCTGGCTTCAAGTCGGAGTGCACAATACGTTCCTCATGTACAGTGCAGAAAATAAGACAAAATTATCAACCGCCTACTTAGACCAACAATATCGCAAAACCTTCATTGGCTACAAAGTTAATGGCCCCTAATTGAAGCATTTTAGTTTAGTATGAATAAAATGACGGACATGAGTGCCCATTTAATACAATAATAGCAAATCCATGAAATGATTGCTTGTAGATTTGTGTATTTGGTGAACAAATTGAAACAATCAAAAAGGATAAAACTTTTTAGTGTACTGGAAATAAACACAGAACACAGGTTGGAACGAGGTACCTCATAGTCTATAACTGGATCATGTTATTCAGTCCCTTCAACCTGTTTAAATATTCAATTTCCTAGCAAAACCCATATGCAGTAGCATAGTCACGACCTTTGAGCTTGATTTTCTCAAGTGCAGATATCGTACAATCTGATGAAAAGACTTTGTGGTTGTGGACCTCAATGCTTCCTCCACTGTCTATCTTTCCAAGCCTTTGATACAGCTTTCCATTCACTTTGAAGAACAAGTCAGGATCATAATTCCAATTCCGATTCCGAGGTGCTGATGCTCCTTTACTACTTGGAACCTTCCCCTGCTTCTCCGCTTTAGAAGGCTCTAACTTGACATCTGAAGTCAAGTCTTTCGACAATGGAGCCTGAGATTGTATATTAGTGACTTCACCCGCAAAATCTTGCCCTTTGATTGACTTATTATACTGACGACAAAGATCAGGATCCTTTAGAAGTTCATTTTTCATTTGCCAAGCTTCCTTCAGCGGCTTGTGATTGATCTAGACGAGGCAGTAGAGAACTTCTGCCAGGTATTCTAGTTTAGTAAGTTTAGTTTACTGATTTTAGTCATTTGTTGTAGAGAGGCGCATGGTGCTATATATGTTGGAAGCATAGTAGTTCCTTAATCCGGTAACTTAAAAAAAACACTACTGAGGGTATCATAAAGAGGGCGCCGATAAGTTTTATGTTGTTAGATTCTTAACTGAAATCAAACTTTAATGTCTCAAATTGGATAATGATATTCTTTCAATTGTAATGCAGCTTTCATGCAATGCACATGCCATTTGTGACATGTAGTTGGTGCTATGGAGCATGTGAAGGAAGGTGATGAGGTAATATATGTTTATTTCTTTTTGCCCTACTTCACCTTATGAAATAAATATAAGCAACATGCCTGATGATGAGATTAACTAGTTCACCATCATTTGCTTTCATGGCATAAGGTATCAATAAGTTATATAGACATTGCATTTAAGTATTTTGTTTATTAATTGATGTATGATTTTTCTCTTAAAAAGAGTAAAGTTCGAATCCTTCTTTCTCAAATATAAACAAAAAAGTTACATAGATTCTGATAAAAGCATCATGTTCCAGCAGGCTCTCCTAAAAAAAAAAGTATATTTTGGTTGCAAATGTTCCACCAATATGGAGACTTAAGGACTTTGGAAGAGGAAAACAAAATAAGGCGCGTAATAAAGTCACTGGCTGACATGGCTACTTCGACCTTTGGCAGTATCCTTCTCAACAGTTTGTATTTGAATATTATTACTTCTATCAGTTCAAATACATTACGTATATTACCCCAAAATATTATCAACTTAGAATGTTTCATAAGTCTTGCATTGAAAAAGTCATATAGATATTATATGATTGAACAATTTAAAAGAGAAATCACTTGCTAGAGAAAAATAAGTTAAAATTTCCTTCGGAGGAGATCTGCCCGTCACCTACATCTACACTCGCTTCCTTCCTTGTGTTCAAAAGAGGTAACATAAATGTGATTTTGGAGTGAGATTTTACTTATTTACATATATTTAATAATTCCGTAACATAAATTTAGTTGATAATATTTGAGTTTGATATATATATTGGTTTTAAATTATAAATTTGTGTTTATTTATATCTAATGTTTGAAAACATTTCCCTAAGGAAAAAATTAATCATGTCTTCTTCAAGCAATAATTCGGTTTAGGAATTTTGCTTCCATCGTATTTCTTGAATTGCACGTGAATTTTTTATTTTATTAATAAAAATTATATACACGTATAAATGTTTCTAAATGCAAAGTTTGAAGTATAAATTATTGAAATTTTATTATATTAATTTATAAATTTTTCAATACTATTAAAAATAAAAAAATATTTTTTCAATAAATGTTATTTAATATAATTAAAATTCTTATTTGCAAATTAGATAAATTTTATTAATTATTAATACTTTCAAAAATATTTATAATGATAGTCACTCAATATACGATTATAATTAAAAATGTATAAAATGACAATTTTAAAGTATAAAAAACAAATATATTATTTCATTAAACAAAAGTTTTACCAATATCAATCTATGTCTATTATTATTACATAAAATTTTAAATATTAATCATCCAATAATTAAAAACTACTTACGATGATGATTGACAATTTAAAAATATAATAAGTAAAAATATTCATTTTTATCAATCAAAAACTTTTTAATACTTGTGCTTTTATATATACTGGTATTTATTGTTCCCTGCAATGCATGTGAATATTTATTTTTATTTATTTTTAAATAATAATTACATATAAAATGTAAATATTTACAAAATGTAAAATTAATTTTTTATAAGTAAAAGATAATTATAGTTGAAAGACCATTAATGTTTCAATTATATATTATCAAAATTTTGTACAATTAATTAATATATAAGTTATTGTTATGAATATATGTGAATATTCATTGTATTTATAGCATCTAATATATTTCCCTATATCCAATGTACATATTTATGTTGGTACATACATCTCTATTTCTGTGTTTCATTTAGTGTATTTACATTCCTATCTATTAAGTTCATCCCCTCTATTTATGTAAATCCATATAGTTAATTAAATTAATTCATAAAGTTATGATTATTAATTAACTTGTAATATCTTTTAATATATATAGTTTACATATTGTGTTATTTTATAAGAAATATAATTACTATTATATATATACTAAAATATTTTTGGTATATATATACTATAAATATAAACATATTTACTTTCTATTTTGTGTTAACATTACAAAAATTATAACTTATAAAATTATGAATTACAATATATATACTTTTTTTATATAAACTTATAATACATATATATATATATATATCTAAAGGGAAGTTGTGATATTAGAATAGTTTTCAAACCTAGGTTTTTTTTTTAATTTCATGAAATTAAGGACAAATGCATGTAGTTAATTAAATTGATTAATGAAACTATGATTATTAATTGACTATTAATGTCTTATAATATATATATATATACTTTATATACATTGGGTTCATTTATAAGAATCTAAATTACTATTATATATATTCAAATATTTTTAGTATATATGTATGTTAAATATAAACAAATTTACATTCTATTTTGTGTTAACATTACTAAAATTATAACTTATAAAATTATTAATTGTGTTTGAGATATTTGTTATTGATTATTTTAATTTTAATTTTATTATTTGTATGTTTTATTAATTTAATTATTAGTAAATTATGAAATATGTAAGAGAAATATTATTGTATATAGATATGGTTACAGATTCGGGTTCGAATAATTAGATACCCATGAATAGCCTTTTAATAATTTTTTGACATAATCAAATTTTTAAACAGATTAGGGTAGTTATAGGATAATGAGGATATATTAGGGTTAAAGTTATGATCATAATTTTTAAAAATATTCGGAGTAGTTAATAGAGTTCGAATATTTTATTTTTTATAAAGTTAAGGTTCGGGTATCTCAAAATTAGTAAATGCCTTATCTATTGACAACTCTACAATCAAACAAGAAATGAAATAGAAGATCTTCTTACATTCTTACTACTTCTCTATAATATTTTCTTTCAAAGTTATATTTCGCAACAATTATTTAATATTATTAAAATTAATTTTTTTTATAAAAATTCATTCAATGTAATTAAAATGTTAGCTAAAATACCTAAACTTCTTAAATTTTAACCAAACTTCCATACGGATTTATTGATTTTTAAAATAAATAATGAGACCCAAAAATGTAACCATCATTAATTGAAAATATAAAAGGACTAAAATGCTTTTTTTTTTCCTCTTACTATTTTTCTCTCAAACAATGTGGCCAGTCGGTGGTGCTGCCAATAGCTGATCGACCACCCGATAGTAGGTGCTCCTCTCTCAACTTGAGAGAATTTTTTTTTCTTGCAAAAGAAAGAAAAAATTTTAAAAATTAAAAATAAAATTCATATAATAATAATTTTTAAAATTAATAAAAAATAAAATTATTCTTTCAATATTACCATATTATCAAATTAAAAAAAATATTAACAATTAACTAAATACCAAACTTATGTGTTTAGTGAAAGATATTTTTTAAAAATAAATTATTTATTTTAAAAATTAACAGACTTGCCTAAAACTATAACTAAAGTTCAAAAGATCTAAATATTTTATCCTAAAATTTTATTTACAAATTATTTCTCAATGTTATACTTACCACGATAATTTTCCTCTTGAAAATTGTATTAGAAATAAGTAAAAAGGCAAAATCCGACGCGTATTTATTCCCCTAGACCTTTTTTGGAAAGGTAACCGCCTCTTGTAGCTTGTAACTGTTTAGTTTACAATTTGACACAATTGTCAGTCTTGTCACATCAATAACGTCTGACGGCCGTTGATTTTATGAGTTTGATAGGATGATAACTAGTTATCAAAGTTCTCTCTGTCATGTCCCTAATCAAAAAGTACCGTTATCCTATCATTTCTGATCTCTCTCTCTCTCTCTCTCTCTCTCTCTTCCCCTTCCTCTTTTTCTTTTACATATTATAAATAGCGAAGGCTTTATTTTCACTTGCGAATACCTCTAACTCTGAGAGAAAAAAGAAAGCAAGAAAGAAAAGAAAGAGTTAGTTATCATTTCAATGGAGGATGATTTGGAATTTCAGAGGTTTCTTGAAGCTAAAGGCTTAACCATTAATACTATTCTACCGAAACGGCGTTGCCTCTTCGCCACCAGAGATTTCATTCCAGGTTCTTCCCTGATCTTCTTTGTTTTTCTTTAAAAGTTTTTGAAGCTTTTAATTTGCTTGTTATACGAGGAAAAGGAAAGTGAAAGGAAAGGTTAAACTTCAAGTTTTGCATGCAAGCAAAAAGAAAGAAGAGAGTTTGTGTTTATTGCCTTAACAATGCACACTTGAACTTGATTTGTTTTCTTGCATGGAAACAAAAGAAAGAAGATGCGTATTAGCATCTAGTAATGTATTAGTTCATGAAGGTACTTTCTTTTTACCCTTTTTTTATTCTTCAAAGTTCAAAATATGTATAGTGTATATATATAGATATGTAAGTAGATGCGTATTTATGTAGTTGTGGTTTGTGGGTGGATATATGTTTGAATGCCAATAATTCATTTATAGCTACGGTAGGGAATACAATTATTTCTTGTTTTCCTAATGTTGGTACTGGTGGTAACAACCACATTTCAGGAGAAGTGATTATGAGGGAGGAGCCTTATGTGTGTATGCCAACATGCTCTGAACCCCCTATGTCAGCGATGCTTTAAATCCGATGGCGCTCTTCTGAAGTGTGCATCCTGTAACATCGCTTGGTACTGTGGTGCAGAATGCCAGGTATATCTTTTTAATGTAGTTTTCTTATGGTTAGATTCCAGCTTTAGGTTATGGTTCTATATATCATTTGCTCACCAATTGCAATGATCTAGCTTTCTCTGTTGAGGGTCATATCAGATAGATAAACACAAGACCAAAAAATGAGAACTATAATTTTTTTTTAAGGGCAAGAACATTTCATTGAAAGAGCTGGCAATGGGGTTGCTAGAAAAAATGCAGAGAGTGTAAAGAAATATCCCTTCAACTGCCAATCCCCTGTACAAAGAGACCTAACAGGCTACATAATTCAGCCACCGAAAAGCAACAAGTCCCCTATTATAAGGGTCCTAAACGGGAGCACAGTTCAGCAACAAAAACACAGGATAAAATAATCATTGAAAGTTGATATAAGTTTTTATGGGATCGATGTAAGTCATCTTTTGTGGGATCGATATAAGTTTTTATGAAAACAAAGGAGAAAGAACAATTAAAAATGGAATTAATGAGTTGATAGATAAAAATAAGTAGTTGTATTTGCGTTTTGTTTATTCTGAATATATATTGTTCCTTAATTTCAGAGGCTTGATTGGAAGTTGCATAAACTTGAATGTCGTGCCATCTCAAGGCTTGAAAAGAAGTGGCAAGAGCTTGTTACACCTGAGATACGCCTGTTGGTAAAGCTCTTCATTCGGAGAAAGTTACAGTGTGATAAGGTAAATAGCTTTTTATGTAATTAATGGCTTTTCAAATTCAGCCTACTTATCTGCAACTGTAACAGTTTGATGACTTTGAGGACAGTTTGCTTGTTATTTATGTATACTGGCAGGTCATCCCTACTACTCCTATAGACAACTATAGCTTGGTGGAGGCAATGATAGCTCGTATCCTTTTTTGTTTGTGGTTTCATTCCGCGCATGTTCTTAATATATTCTTATGCTTCACCTAACCTACTTTTGGGAAGACCGATATAATATGGAGGCGGAGAAAGTGGCCGCGTTTGAGATGAAGGCTGAAATCGTCAAGCAAATGCTTCAGCAGCCTCGGTTTAATCTAGACGAGGCAGTAAACAACTTTTGCAAGGTATTCTAGAATAGCAAGTTTAGGTTTACTTATTTTAGTCAATTGTTGTAGAGGTCCCTTTTGAATCTCAAATGAAGCTGCCGCACTAAACTGTTTTAAATGTTGAACCTGATAGACAATAGATGTTTCAAGTTCAGCAGAGCTGTAAGGAGGTTTTGACAGTGCATATTGCCATACTTTTTTTTTTTTGATGTTTTTAGATTCTTAAATTAAACAGAACGGAGCTCCGTGTAGAAGATTGAGGTTTTGATCAGGTCTTCTCTGAAAATCATTTCTTTCAATTCTAATGCAGGTTTCATGCAATGCACTAGCCATTCTTGACATTGATATGGAGCAACTGGGAATTGGACTGTATCCTGTCATGTCTATTATTAACCACAGGTAACTGATAAAACTGATTAACAGCTTTTTTTTGAAGTTGTGATTCCTTTTGGGCTTTCTCTTTACGGGTTTAATCATTTTGGGATTATAGCTGCTTGCCCAATGCTGTTTTGGTTTTTGAGGGAAAACTTGCTGTACTTCGTGCTTTGTTGCCTGTGGAGAAAGGTGATGAGGTAATATATGTAACAAACGAATTTCGAGTCAACATGTTTGATTATTGGTTGATAAGATCGAGTACTAAGTTGTTCTTCTATTCATGATATGAAATGAATTCTGCAAGTATTTTGTAAGTTACATAGACCTTAGTCGACCCACCAGGCATCGGCAGAACGATCTTAATGCAAAATACCATTTTCTTTGCTTATGTCACCGCTGCCGTAAGTTTGACGAAATCGATGATCAAATTTTGGATGCTCTGAAATGCAAGCATGGCAAATGCGATGGTTTCTTGGTTGACAAAGACGGTATGTCATATCAATGCTAGCAAAACTGTTTTGGATATATCCAGAACCTAATTAATCTTTCTCTGTTTGGCGATGCAGGATTTTACAGTCGTGACCAGAAATTTGAATGCAGCAAATGTGGACGTGTCAGGACTTCGAAAACGGAAAAAAAAGCAAAGGACAAATTAGAACCACTGCTTGTCAAGGGTAGATCGCATTTTGCTGATCGCAGTATCCTTCTCCATTGTTTGTATATAAATAATAAATATTATTTCTCATACAGCATGTTGATATTTGTTTTGCGCATATTTGCATTGATTTTGTTCTGGTATGCTTAAAACAAAAGTTATTCTTTGACAGTGTTGTAGATTTTCAGGAAGCTCTGTCTACATATAAGAGGGTTGAGGAAGCGACCCTGGATCTTTATCATCCTTCTTCATTCAGCGTGATGATTGTCAGAAATTTACTTACAAAGGTAGCCTTTTTAAGGATCTTATTATCTCTGGAAGAAAAGGAGTTGAAAAAGTCTTTGTTTGGTGACTTGGATGCCATTTGGACAACATACTCAATAGATGAGAGGCTTAATTAGATGAAGAAATAGTGACAGGAACAGTCTTGTCTTGATACAGATTGACTTGCTACTCCAAGTGTGGGCTAATAAGATTTGATATTGTTTATGGTACCAGTTACTACTATAAGCTGAAGCCTTTTCTCAAATAAAAAAGTTTGCTATTTTGTGCTTTTCAGCTCTATATGAAGACAGGAGATATAAAAGCAGCGCTGGAATGTTGTAGATTGACAACATCAGGGCATGAAAGTATTTCATTTTCTATACTTCAGTAGGAGATATGTTGTAGTTACTTTGTTCTTTGTTTAAATTTCTTATCCAATATTCTTGCTTTTTTGACCTTTTTATCCAGGACTATTACAAAGAGAAGATCCTGTTCTTGGACTGCACTACTACGCACGAGGGATGCTTGAATGGTAAGAAAAATTTTCTGTGTTTATCTTCAATATTGTGAACAAAAAAAGGATGTTATTTGGCATAGTATATTACAGGGCTGAAGGGAACAAAGAGGAGTCTCTCAATTATCTGAACAAGGCTGCTAATATACTGCGAATTACTCATGGGACAAATTTTCCTTTTGTGGAAGAACTCTTGATCAACTTGGCCAAGGAACAAGAGGGAGGCCCTAGCGGATTTTGATGTATAGATAGAAAGGCATACTTTCTGAGCCATTGCTGTGAAGAAGTTTTTTTTTTTTTAAATAAACATAAGCAATGCTGTTTGTGTACCTAAAAGCGTTGCTTGATTCAATTCCAATATGCCAGGTTGTTTGGTACCGCTAGAGTGTGATATACAGAAAATAACTAGTGCTAAACCAGTATTCTTATACTTCTAAGAACTAGTGCTTTATAGGTGAATCCCATCATCATATTCCACTACAGAAAGCTCAAGGCCTCGATCTAAAAGGATCACCGTGTATATATATATATATATATAGATATATGTGGAATACATATTTGAAAGCCAAAAGTAGGTTTCATTGCATTCATACAAGAGTTCTAAGTAAAACTAATGCAGAAACAGATCAAGAGTACTAAACACAGTTCAAAAGACTATCATGCAGCAAAATAGAAGAAACATAAGCAAAACTGATTACTTTTGCCAGCAAAATGGTAAGTCTTTTTAGTATCAATAACTTGCACTAAGAGGTTTCTTTTACTTTTTAAAAGACTGCTTGAATTTCATTGTGAAGCCTAGTAGGAAAGAAGTACATGTAGGGGGGAAAACCACTAAGAAATAATTGTCAGGTTTGCACTATGAAAGTAGATAAATACGATGCAGGAATAATGAATGCAATGGTTTCGTGGTTGATAAATACGGTATGTCATATCAATGCTGAACTGTTGTGGATAGATCTAAAAATTAATTGATCTTTCCATTTAACAAACTAAGGCGCATAATAAAGTCACTGATTGACATGGCTACTTCGATTTTTGGCAGTATCCTTCCCAATAGTTTGTATTTAACTATTATTACTTATACCAGTTTGAGATATTAACACTACAAAAAAAAAAAAAAGAAGTTGTTCTTTGACGGTGTTAAAGATGTTGAGGAAAAGCTGTCTACTTGTAAGGTGATTGAGAAATCTATCATGAAATATTACCATCCTTTGTTTATTCGACCTGCTGCTGATCCGACATATACTTACTAAGGTAGTCTTTCCAAAGATATTATTCTCTTCACATCTCCTTCATTATCAGTAAAGGTTTTTGGATGAAAAGCCTTTGCTTGCTGACTTTGTTGCCATTCTTGTCAAATTCATGTACAGTCAATGGTGCATGCTTTTTGCTTGATTTAATACTTAGTACAGGCAAAAATAATATAAAATAAAATAAAGATACCCATATTTTTTTTCATTAAAAAAATCACTTGTTAGAGAAAAAGAAATCAAAATTGCCTCTGATTAAGGGAGGTTTATTTGTTACTTATATCTACACTTGCTTGCTTGCTCGTGTTCATGCTTGTGCTTAAAAGAGGTGAAAATGTATTGTTCTATATTGATTACATAAACATAAATCCTGTTGGTAATATTTGAGTTTGATATATTGTTCTATATTGATTTTAAATTACAAAATTATGTTTATTTATATCTCTGTAATTAAATGTTCGAAAATATTCCCTTAATAAGAACAATTATGTCTTTGCAAACAATAATCCACTTTAAGAACTTTGATTCCATCACATTCTTTAATTGTATGTGAATGTTTATTTTTATTTATTTTTAAATAACATTTATATAAATGTACAAATGATTTTAAATGTAAAGTACAAATGGTTTTAAATATAAAGTTTGAAGATTAGATCATTGAAAGTTTATAATATTAATTTATAAAATTTTCAATACTATTAATATTAAAAGATCTTTTTCGATGAATGTTATTTAATAGAAATAGAATTCTTACTTAAAAATTAAATAAATCTCATTAATACATAAAATAAAAATATTTATAATGATAGTCATTCAATATAATTATAATTAAAAATATTTACAATGATAATTTAAAAATATAATAAATATATATGTATTTCATCAAACAAAAGTTTTACCAATATCAATTAATATCTAATAATATTATGTAACACATTAAAAATAGTTTAAGATAATGATTGACAATTTCAAATTATTTGTAACTGTCTAGTTTAAAATTTGACACAATCTATCACAATCACCAATGTCGGACAGCCCTTAGTTCGATGAGTTTGTTACAATCCGACCATCATTAGTTTGCGAAGTTCTCTAAGTATCATGTTCGAAGTCAAAAGCACTGAAATCCTATAACTCTCTCTCTCCCCTTCGCATCTCCTTTTCTTTACTGAAATCCTACTGAAGAAGAAGCTCGCTGGCTCTATTTTCACTTGCGAATGCCTCTGACTCTGAAAGAGAAAAAAAGTAACCAAGAACGAAAAGAGAGTTAGATATCATTTCAATGGAGGATGATTTAGAGTTGCAGAGGTTTCTTAAAGCTGAAGGCTTAACCGTTTCTTCTGTTCTACCGAAATTTGATTACAATGGAGAATGTATGCGTTGCCTCTTAGCCACCAGAGATTTTATTACAGGTTCTTCTCTGATCGTCTTCATTTTTCTTAGTAAAGACAATGTCTTTATAAGTTTTGGGAGCTTTTAATTTGCTTGTTATACAAGGAAAAGGAAAGTGAAAAAGAAGGTTAAACTTCATTTTTTTTTTGCATACAAGCAACAAGAAAGAAGAGAGTTTGTGTTTGTTGCATTAACAATGCGGACTGGAAATTGATTTGTTTTCTTGCATGGAAACAGAAGAAAGAAGAGAGAAAAGAAAAGGAAGATAGTGAAACATACCAGAAAGAAAACGCACTGACTAGATTTTTATTTACGTATCTAAGATTGATTTTTTTTTTATGGAATTCTATCTGTTTGAAATTCTTGGTGATGTGGAAATCTGGTGATTTAGCCATTAACACAAAGGGAGTGATAGGGTGACTTAGGAGTCTTGCAGCCACTTGCAGGAACAGGGTGTTGTAGCCTGACGGGTTCTTTGTACGATGAAGGAGGGTGCTTAAATAGTTATTACTGGAGGATTTAGCAGAAGGATATTGACATTTGGACTGTCAAGAAACCAATATATACTGAAGAGGGCTGCTGTTGGGTCGGCTATGAGATGGGCAAACTGATTTCAGTTCACATGGATTTATTTTATTTTATTTTATTTTTCGGAAGCCTTGGCTTGTTGAAACTTTATGGGATATGGGCTAAGTATGGTATGGAACCCCTTTGGCGTGTTATTGAATGAAGCTTATTATGAAGAGCTGAATATATGGTTGGAAAATTGATTTCATGGAATTGCTATGTTGCATTGGTTGGTTTTGAGCATCTATGCTTGGAAAACAGGCATGATTGATGGATTGATTTGTTAATTCACAGCTGAGGGAAACAAAAACATTAGGATGTCTTGAGATCCTGATTTGATTTGCTTTAAGTTAGGCTTTGGAAGCATTTGAATGACAAAAGCTGGTGATTAATTTTGTAAACAAGAGAAGAAGACAGTTTTAATTTTGTACAGGGAAGGGTTCTTTTTGTAAAGGGTGGCTTTGGATGTCTTGCATTAGGGACTGATATGTTAGCATGAATTTTTGCAGAGGGGACAAAACAGAAGGAAATTTTGTTCACTTTGATGGGGCTACGGTATTGAGTAACCCCTATCATTTATGAATACTTTCATGACTTTTCAAAAAAAATTTCTTTTCTTTTTCTTTTTTAATAACTCTGTTCAAGGTAGTTTTTTGGTCTTTTGTTAGCATCTAGTAATATATTAGTTCATAAGGTAATGTTTTTACCCTTTTCTTGCTCTTCAAAATTCAAAATATGTATAAATATCCTTTTCTTAGGCATGCATACATAAAAATAATACTATTTATTATTATATGATACGATATGATATTAGTAAAAAACAATAGTATCAAGAACGTATCATGCGATACACAATGTTATGATATGAAGGCATATCGTACGATACAGTCGATATGCATTTTTATAAGTTTAATTTTAATTAATTATTAAATTCTTTATTTTTTATTATTTTTTGAATTGAAATATAAAAAATTATATTTTATGAGTTTCAATCTTTAGATTTTAAACAAAAAAAATAAAAAAATTGAATTCGCTTTTAATTTTAACATAAGAAATGTTTTTTATTTTTTAATTAATAAATTAATATAAAAAATATATATTATTTAAAAATCCATATTATTAAGGAATATGTTAAAAGTTTAAATTAAAAAAAAATCATCTTTTCATTTTACATCTTACAATCTTCAATTCCATTAAAAAATATAATATTTTCAATTTTTTTTATTTTACATGGATAAATATTATTTATAATTAATTTTAAAAAATTTTATTGTATCTTACGATACGGTACTCGATATTAAAAAATAAAATTTTGATACACGATACATATCTCGATTTAACAACTACACTATATATATATGTATATATGTATGTTTGTATGTAGGTACATATGTATGTAGTTGTGGTTAGTGAGGGGATATATGTTTGTATGCCAATATGTTTCATTTATAGGCTATATCGACGGTAAGGAATACAATTATTTTTGGTATGCACTATCTTGATTTCCTAATTTTGGTACTGGTGGTAACAATCACATTTCAGGAGAAGTGATTATGAGGGAGGAGCCTTATGTGTGTATACCAACAAGCTCTGATCCTGTATGCCAGCGATGCTTTAAATCCGATGGCACCCTTTGGAGGTGTGCATCCTGTAACATTGTTTGGTACTGTGGTGCAGAATGCCAGGTATATCTTTTTAATTTTGTTTCTGTGTTGTTTTATGGTTAGATTCCAGCTTTAGGTTATGGTCCTATTTATCATTTGCTCACCAATTGCAATGATCCATCTTCCTCTGTTGACGGTCATTTCAGATAGATAAACACAAGTCAAATTCGGATTCTCTACTAGAACCATTTTTTTCCCAATTAATGATGTTAAATACCAAAAATTGAGAATTCTAATCAATCTTAGAGATCATTATAGAAGTTTTGAGCTGTAGAAGCATTTAGGCTTACTGCAGCAGCATTGAAATAGAGAAAAGAAAAGCTTAGAAAGTAAAAGAGAGAGAGATACTTTAAGTAATGGCATCAGTACCATTTTCATTCATTAAGAAATATATTTACATGAAATACATTGCTTAGTTTCACCTAGTACATATCCATACTCAAAATCAACTAACTACATACATAGTCATTCTTTGCTGCATTAAACATTTCAACAAGTAAACTGTCACACTTAACCATCAGAAGTATGGCTGCCCACTAAACCTTTGACTTTGCTTTGGTCTTCAAAGCAAGCCTTACATCAGCAAAACAAAGAAGAACAATGATATATGGAATTAATGACTTGGAATATTCTTCTCTTTGTGTAATAAGATAAAAGTAAGTAGTGGGATTTGTGTTTTGTTTATTCTGAATATATATTGTTCCCTAATTTCAGAGGCTTGATTGGAAGTTGCATAAGGTTGAATGTCGTGCCATCTCAAGGCTTGAAAAGAAGTGGCAAGAGCTTGTTACACCAGAGATACGCCTACTGGTAAAGCTCTTCATTCGGAGAAAGTTACAGTGTGAAAAGGTAAATAACTTTTTACGTAATGGCTTTTCAAATTTGGCCTATTTATCTGCAACTGTAATAGTTTCATGATTTTGAGGACAGTTTGCTTGTTACTTTAATAATTCTTGATGGACTAGATCTATACATCATGATAGAGCAGTTTGCTTGTTTATCTGTGTATACACGTAATTTGAAATGAACTGCAAGCAAGCAGTTGTTGTCGCATATCCATCCTCGAGAAAGTCCCCTCAGAAAACAAGGAATGAATTACCTGTTTCTATGTAAACATAAGAGTATTAAAATGTAAATACTGAATGAGAAATCAGATACTGTTTTCTTAGCAATATATCTAATAATAAATTATCTAGCTTATCACAAATAATGATAATAAAATTATCTACATGCAGGGGTTTAGCAAAAAAAAAAAACAAAACAAAACAAAACAAAAAAGAAAGTGGTTTCCTTCCTATTTTATCATCTGCATTCTCAATAGATAATGCCTATTCTATGTAAAATTTGAAATTCAGAAATAAGAATTTAATGCCCTAGAGAAGGAAGTAAAACTGAATCAGCATACTGAACTCAAGTTCAAGATATAATCTACAGATTCTCTATGTAAAGAACATGTAGAGCAACATAGGTTGATTTTATAGGTTGGATGCTTCCCTTTGTCTTTAGCATAAACTAATCAGCTTAGGTGTTATGACTGTTCCTTGATTACGATAGTTACTGCAGTGGACGGAACTTGAGATAATGATGAGGTAAGAGGAATTTGGTTTTAATTCCTCAGGCCCATTGATACTTTTCCTCTTAATAAATGGATACTTAATACTTCTTTGATTGAACATTACCAAGCGAATGAAACTCTCCAGTTTGTTCTTCTTCCCTTTGAAACATGACTTATGTTGTCAACACACCATGTTAACATCCTTACTAGTATAAAAATTGAGTTTCATTTGTTCATTTGTGTATACTGGCAGGTCATCCCTACTACTCCTATAGACAACTTCAACTTGGTGGAGGCAATGATAGATCGTATCCTTTTTTGTTTGCTGATGTTCATTTGTGGTTTCATTCCCGCGCATGTTCTCAATAAATTGTTATGCTTCACCTAACATACTTTCGGGAAGACCAATCTGATATGGAGGCAGAGAAATTGGTCGAGTATATGACGAAGGCTCAAATCGTCAAGCAAATGCTTCAGCAGCCTGAGCTTGATCTAGACAAGGCAGTAAACAACTTTTGCAAGGTATTCTAGATTAGTAATATTTTTTATCGTGTTCTTATATTTTTAAGTTAAACAGAACGGATCTCCACGTAGAAGATTGAGGTTCTAACTGGGTCTTCTTTGAAAATCAATTCTTTCAATTCTAATGTTTTAGCTTTCATGCAATGCACATGCCATTGTTGACATTGAAATGGAGCAACTCGGAATTGGACTGTATCCTGTCATGTCTATTATTAACCACAGGTAATTGATAAAACTGATTAACGGCTTCTTTTGAACTTGTGATTTCTTTTGAGCTTGCTCTTTACGGGTTTAATCGTTTTGGGATTTTAGCTGCCTGCCCAATGCTGTTTTGGTTTTTGAGGGAAAACTTGCTGTACTTCGTGCTATAGCGCCTGTGGATGAAGGTGATGAGGTAATACATGTAAGAAATGAATTTGAAGTTTTCTACATTTTGAGTCAACATGTTTGATTATTAGTTGATAAGATCAAGCACTGCTTCGTCATGACTAAGTTGTTCTTGTTGTTTTGTTTCCTCAAGGTATTGATAAGTTACATAGACCTTGGTCGAACCACCAGGTTTCGACAGGACGATCTTATTGGAAAATACCATTTTACTTGCTCATGTCCCCGCTGCCGTAAGTTTACTAAAATTAATGATCAAATTTTGGATGCTCTGCGATGCAAGAATGGGAAATGCGATGGCTTCTTGGTTGATAAATACGGTATGTCATATCAATGCTAAAACTGTTTTGGGTAGATCTAGAGCTTAATTGATCTTTCTCTGTTTGGAGATACAGGACTTTACAGTAGTGACCAGAAACTTGAATGCAACAAATGTGGACTCGTCAGGACTTTGGAAGCGGAAAAAAGAGCAAAGGGGAAAGTAGATCCATTGCTTGCCAAGGGTCGATCGGATTTTGCTTCTGGGTGTATCCTCCATTATTTGTATATAAATAATAAATATCAGTAATTCTTATGTCAGTTTGAAATATTGTTTCTCTTACTACATGTTGAGATTTGTTTTGCTCATATTTGCATTGTTTTTGTCCCTGTGTACTTTGGCAAATATATTGGTGAAGCTAATTTGCATTAACACACTTAAAATAAAAGTTGTTCTTTGACAGTGTTGTAGATTTTCAGAAAGCTCTGTCTACCTATAAGAGGGTTGAGGAAGCGACTCTGGATCTTTTCCATCCTTCTTCATTCAGCGTGATGATTGTCAGAAATTTACTTACAAAGGTAACCCTTTTAAGGATCTTATTCTCTCTGGAAGAAAAGGAGTTGAAAAAAAACTTGGTTTGTTTACTTGGATGCCTTTTCGACAACATAGTCAATGGATGAGAGGCTTAATTAGACGAAGAAATGGTATCAGGAACAGTCTTGTCTTGATACATATTGACTTGCTACTCAAAGTGTGGGCTAATAAGATTTGATATTGTGTATGCTACCAGTTATTAGTATAAACTGAAGCCTTTTCTCAAATCAGAAAGTTTGCTATTTTGTGCTTTTCAGCTCCATATGAAGACAGGAGATATACAAGCAGCACTGGAATGTTGTAGACTGACAACACCAGTACATCAAAGTATGTCATTTTCTATACTTCAATAGGAGATTTCTTATCCAATATTCTTGCTCTTTTTATCTTTTTATCCAGGACTATTACAAAGACACGATCCTGTTCTTGGAATGCACTACTACACACGAGGGATGCTTGAATGGTAAGAAAGTTTACCGTGTGTCTCCATTATCTCCAATTTTATGAACATAAAAGGATGTTCGTTTATTACAGGGTTAAAGGGAACAAAAAGGATGCTCTGAATTATCTGATCAGGGCAGGTGATATACTGGAAATTACTCATGGGACAAATTTTCCTTTGGTGAAAGAACTCTTGATAAACTTGGCCAGGGAACAAGAGGGACATCCTAGTGGATTCTGATGTATAGATTGAAATGCATACTTACTTGGTGAGCCATTTCCGTGAACAGGTTATCGATCGGTTTTTTTTTTTTTGAAGCATTAGCAATGCTCTATGTTTTTGTACATAAACAGCTAGCTTTAAATATTCTTTGGTCGGTTTAACCACCATTATTTTAATGTATGTTAAGAATTCCTAAACCACCATTCTTATAGTTCTAACAAATACTGCTTTAATAAGTGAATCTCATCTTTTTCACCTTCCTCACCATCATACACCACTACGGAAAGCTCAAGGCCTCAATGTAAAGGATCACCATATGTATGCAAACTCTATATCGTCAGCATCAAATATAAATATTATATATATATATATATATATATTGTATTTTTGAATTCAAAAGTAAGTTTTATTGCCCAATGGCCTCTCCCTCTTGTATAAAATCACTTAATTCTTCGAAGAGAAGCCATGTCCATGCTGTCATTGTTACCAGTGATGCTTTTATATATAAAAGACTGAAATGTCAAGAAGCTACATATTTGGGAAAAAATCTGTATTAAACATTCTAAATCATATACAAGAAAGCCAGCAATATTTATTGCTGGTAAAAACTTGTAAACATTCAAGTGAAGTGTAAGAGAGTAATATAGTTAAATCTAACTGCAAAACAATGATTAACTACACATTAAACAAGCTATGGTAAACAATAAATTATAAAAAAAAAAATTTACATTATCACTCTCTTTCAAAATGGATATTATGAATATTCGTGCATAAAAATAAATGAAATGGTCTCAATTGTAATCCTTTTATGAATAGATCTACTAGTTATAATTTGATTCGTAAATAGCAGAGTTTAATAATTCTTTCAACTATCTTCTTTCAAATAAAATGACATTTCATCACTATAAGTTTCATTCGTTCATGAAAAATTGAGACTTTTTCATATATGAAGAACAAACTGATTATAACAAAATGACTTCGTTGCACCCGAATGTTTCATATTATAGTCCTTGAGCAAATACGGCAACCATTTTTCTTCAAAAGTTGTTACCATTGCTTTATATTCAACATCTATTGAACTCTTGGCTACTACACTTTGCTTCTTAACCTAGTATTTAGGCAACCAATCCAATCACTATTCTTATATGTTTGTAAACACAAATAAGAATTAGCAAAGAACAAAACACCTTGATCGGGTGCTATTTTAGAATATTTCAAAACTCGAAATGCTGTTTGTAAATGATTCTCACTAGGTTTGTCCATATATTAAGAAAGTTTCAATACAATTATAATTAAAAATATACAAAATGACATTTTAGAAATATAATGAGCAAATGCATCTATTTTGTTAATCAAAAGTTTTAACAATATAAATTCCTGTCTATTACTATTACATAGAATTTTAAATATTATTTATATAATAATTAAAAATTATTTAAGATGATGATTGACAATTTTGAAATATGATGAGTAAAAATATTCGCTTTGATCAATCAAAAAGCATTTTAACACTTGTGCTTTTAAATATATATATATATATATATATTGTCACCTACAATACATGTGAATATTTATTTTTATTTATTTATAAATTATTACAAAAATTTACAAAATGTAAAGAAAATTAAAGTTGAAAAAAAATTAATGTTTCAATAATATATAATTAAAATTTTATAATATTAATTAATATAGAAGTTATTCAATAATAATAGAATTAAAAAATATATTTTTATGAAATTCCTTCAATGTAATTCTAATTTTTACTTGATATTATACATTACCACAATAATTTTCCTCTCTAAAAATGTATTAGAAATAAGTAAATGTGCAAATTCGAACGTGTACATATTCTAGAGTACACTTAACCACCTATTATAAGTTGTAACCGTCTAGTTTAGAATTTAACAGGGCTGTCAGTCTGTCAGGATCACCAACGTTTGACAGCCGTTGGTTTTATGAGTTAGCTATGATCGGACGATGATTAGTCTCTAACTGTCATGTCCCTAATCAAAAGTACCGTAATCTTATCATTTCTAATCTTTCTTTCTCTCTCTTACCCCCTTTTCATTTTCTTTTGCTTCTTATAAATAGCGAAGAAGGAGCTGAAGTTTATTTTCACTTAGGAATAACTCGACTCTGAGAGAGAAAAAAGAAAGCCAGAGAGAAAAGAGCGTGTTTGTTATCATTTCAATGGAGTATTATTTGGAATTGCTGAGTTTTCTTATTCCTGAAGGCTTAACCATGTATACTGTTCTACCGAAAGGGCGTTGCCTCTTCGCCTCCAGAGATTTCATTCCAGGTTCTTCTCTGATCTTTCTGCTTTTTTTTTTGTCTTTAAAAGCTTTTAATTTGCTTGTTATACGAGGAAAAGGGAAGTGAAAGGAAAGGTTAAACTTCATTTTTTGCATGCAAGCAACAAGAAAGAAGAGAGTTTGTGTTTATTGCCTTAACAATGCAGACTTGAACTTGAGTTGTTTGCTTGCATGGAAACAAGAGAAAGAAGAGAGTGAAACATACCAGAAAGAAAGAAAGAGAAAACGCATTAAACTGAACTTGACTATGCATGATATTTTCTTTTCTTTTTCTTTTTTTATAGCTCTGTTCAAGGTAGTTTTATGATCTTTTGTTAGCATCTAGAAATGTATTAGTTCATGAAGGGACTTTCTTTTTAAACCTTTCCTTATGCTTCAAAGTTCAAACAAGTATAAGTATCATATTCCTATGCACGCAAGCATAAAACTAACACTATATTGATGGATGCATGTATATATATAGATATATGTAAATAGATGCATATGGATGTAGTTGTGGTCAGTGAGGGCTTATATATTTGTATGCCAATAGTTTACTCATAGCTACGGTAGGGAACACAATTAGTTTTTGTTTTCCCAATTTTGGTACTTGTGGTAACAACCACATTTCAGGAGAAGTGATTATGAAGGAGGAGCCTTATGTGTGTGTACCAACAAGCTCTGATCCCCTATGTCAGCGATGCTTTAAATCCGGCGATGCCCTTCTGAAGTGTGCATCCTGTAACATCGCTTGGTACTGTGGCGCAGAATGCCAGGTATATCTTTTTAATGTAATTTTTGTGTTGTTTTATGGTTAGAGTCCAGCCTTAGGTTATGGTTCTATTCTATGTATCATCTGCTCACCACTTGCAATGATCCAGCTTTCTCTGTTGAGTGTCATATCAGATAGATAAACACAAGATCATCTTTTTTGGGATCGATGTAACTTTTTGTGAAAACAACAGAGAAAGAACAATGAAAAATGAAATTAATGACTTCGAAGATAAAAGTAAGTAGTGGGATTTGTATTTTGTTTAATCTGAATATATATTGTTCCCTAATTTCAGAGGCTTGATTGGAAGTTGCATAAGCTTGAATGTCGTGCCATCTCAAGGCTTGAAAAGAAGTGGCAAGAGCTTGTTACACGTACACCTGAGATACGCCTGATGGTAAAACTCTTCATTCGGAGACAGTTACAGCGTGATAACGTAAATAACTTTTTATGTAATGGCTTTTCAAATTTGGCCTATGTATCTACAACTGTAATAGTTTCGTGATTTTGAGGACAGTTTGCTTGTTGTTTATGCATACTGGCAGGTCATCCCTACTACTCCTATAGACAACTTCAACTTGGTGGAGGCAATGATAGATCGTATCCTTTTCTTTTTTTTGCTGATGTTCATTTGTGGTTTCATTGCTGCGCGTGTGCTTAATAAATCCTTATGCTTCACCTAACCTACTTTTGGGAAGACCAATCTAATATGGAGTCGGAGAAATTGGACGAATATCAGATTATGGCTCAAATCGTCAACCATATGCTTCAGCAGCCTGAGCTTGATCTAGACGAGGCAATAAACAACTTTTGCAAGGTATTCTAGAATAGCAAGTTTAGGTAGAAGATTGAGGTTTTGATCAGGTCTTCCCTGAAAATCAATTCTTTCAATTCTAATGCAGCTTTCATGCAATGCACATACCATTGTTGACATTGCAATGGGGCCACTGGGAATTGGACTGTATCCTGTTATGTCTCTTATTAACCACAGGTAACTGATAAAACTGATTAACGGTTTTTTTTGAACTCGTGATTTCTTTTGGGCTCTCTCGTTTAATCACTTTTGGGATTACAGCTGCTTGCCCAATGCTATTTTGGTTTTTGAGGGAAAACTTGCTGTACTTCGTGCTCTGGCGCCTGTGGACAAAGGTGATGAGGTAATATATGTAAGAAATGAGTTTGAAGTTTTCTGCATTTTGAGTCAACATAGACCTTGATCAAGCACTGCTTCGTCATGACTTACTTGTTGTTGTTATTTTGTTTCCATAAGGTATTGATCAGTTACATAGACCTTGGTCGAACCACCAGGCATCGACAGGACGATCTTAATGCAAAATACCATTTTACTTGCACATGTCCCCGCTGCAGTAAGTTTGCAGAAATCGATGATCAAATTTTGGATGCTCTGCGATGCAAGGAGGGCGAATGTGATGGTTTCTTCGTTAATAAAGACAGTATGTCATATCAATGCTAGCTTAACTCTTTTGGGTACATCTAGTGCTTAATTGGTCTCTCTCTGTTTGGAGATGCAGGATCTTACAGTCGTGACCAGAACCTTGAATGCAACAAATGTGGACTCGTCAAGACTTCGGAAGCGGAAAGAAGTGCAAAGGGGGTAATAGATCCACTGTGTGACAAGGGGAAATCGGAGTTTTTTTCTGGCAGTATCCTTCTCCATTGTTTGTATACTTTGGCAAATATACTGGTGAAGCTAAGTTGTTCTTTGACAGTGCTGTAGATTTTCAGGAAGCTGTATCTACTTTTAAGACGGCAGAGGAAGCAGCCCTGGATCTTTTCCATCCTTCTTCATTCAGCGTGATGCTTGTCAGAAATTTACTTACAAAGGTATCCTTTTTAGGGATCTTATTCTCCGGATGCAAAGGAGTTGAACGAGTCTTTGTTTGGTGACTTGGATGCCATTTGGACAAAATAGTCGATAGCTGAGAGGCTTAATTAGATGAAGAAATAGTAACAGGAACAGTCTTGTCTTGATGCTCGAAGTGTGGACTTTTAAGATTTGATATTGATTATGCTATTTTATGCTTTTCAGCTCTATACGCAGATAGGAGATACACGAGCAGCGCTGGAATGTTGTAGATTGATGACACCAGTACATGAAAGTATGTCATTTTCTATATTGGAGTTACTTTGTTATTTGTTTAAATTTCTTATCTAATATTCCTGCTATTTTAACTTTTTTATATCCAGGACTATTACAAACGCTTAACCCTGTTCGTGGAATGCACTACTTGACACGAGGGATGCTTGAATGGTTAGAAAATTTTCTTTTTGTCTCCTTTACCTTCAATATCATGAACAAGAAAAGGATGTTATGTTGGCATCGTTTATTACAGGGTTGAAGGGAACAAAGGGGATGGTCGCAATTATATGGCCAGGGCAGGAGATATACTGCTAATTACTCATGGGACAAATTTCCCTTTGGTGAAAGAACTCTTGATCAACTTGGCCAAGGACCAAGCGGGGTTGGCCAAGAAACAAGAGGGAGGTCCTAGTGGTTCTTGATGTATAGATGAAAATGTATACTTTACTTGCTGAGCCATTTCTAACCAAATTTGATGACAAAAGTTGATTCCCCCGCTTGCCTGCAGGAGTGACAGAGTGTTTTTCTTTTTCTTTTTGAAATATAAGCAATGCTGTATGTTTGTGTACCTAAACAGCTAGCCTTAAACACTCTATGATCGGTTTTTCAACCACCATTTTTTTCATGTATGTTAAGAATCTCTAAATCACCATTCTTTTTTACCGTCCTCACTATCATATTCGACTACAGAAAGCTCAAGGCCTCAATCTAAATGATCATCATGTATATATATTTGAAAGCCAAAAGTAAGTTTTATTGCACGAATACAAGATTTCTAAGTAAAACTAATGCAAAAACAGATCAATAACTTGCAGCAAAATCGAAGAAACATAAGCAAAACTGATTACTTTTGCCAGCAACATGGTAAGTGTTTTCTAGTATCAATAACTTGCACTAAGAGGTTTCTTTTAATTTATAAAAGACTGCTTGAATTTCATTGTAAAGCCTAGGAGGAAAGAATTACATGTAGAGGGAGGGGGGGGGGTGGTGAACCACTAAGAAAGTATTGTCAGGTTTGTACTATGAAAGTGACCACATGAAGTATCCAACGTTTGCTTGTTTTGTCCTTATAAATTCAGTGTGCTTGTAAAGCAATTTATTGTTGAACAATCAATTATTTGGTCCAGTTTGCTAGTTTCTATGTTGAATCGATCCTGTATTGCCAAGGAGGTTAATGGCAGTTGTTAGGCTTTGGTTCAGTCTGTAAGTCAGTAACTTGTTCAAACGTTCATGGGGGCTTCCCAAGTTAGCTCCGTGGGACTGAAGCACAGAATTTACAGGTAAAACAAGAAAAGATAATGGGGAAAGATTTTTAGGTATTACCAACTCAACATGATTTTGGAACATGCTGAAAAAGATGGTAGTAACAATTTGAACAAATGTTGGCCTTGATGGTCACTTTTGCTTCTTTTTCCTTTCTTTTCTTGCACCTTTATTGGATTGAATGTTACATAATTAAACTAGAAAATGCTATCATACAAACGTTCTGAACCTAAAGGATCAGTTGAATTGACTCTTTGGACTGCACACATCAATTCAAAAACAGGCTGATACATTCATGAACTCGCTGAAGGATGATGTTTCAGCTATCCAAGAATACAAACCCACCATGGTAATTTTTACATATTATTGCAAAAGGACTGAAAATGACCTTGATCTGGCATAATTGCTGGTATGCCAAAAAAAACCTCCCATGTTTACGACACATAAAAACTGCTATGGCTAGCTGCTCCCCGTGTTTACCAACTCTTACCCTGTCTTGCTTAGATGTTCCTGGAGCTGAAAGCAAAGCTTTGACATTTGAGAGAGCAACCTGCATTCTTGTTCTTGGGATGTTAGGGACTGTGACGTTATCTGTGACATTGGGTCTCTAAGGAGTTGAGTGAGCTGAGAACATATTACCAAAGCATCTTGATTGTTGCAACATGCTTTCTCTATAAGCTGAAGCAGTTGACAGCTTTGGTCTTGAGAAAAAGATGGTTGGGGAGGAACAGGGGGAACGAGAAAAGGGTGTTTAAGTAGCTGAGGAATCCTCCACCTCTCATTGCGGTCCCATGCAAGACATTTCTTCATGAGATCAAGAAGCCATGGGTTAGAAACTGGACCATATGCTATCTCATGGTTTGGATCTGTTATAACTTTGAACTTAGACCAAAAAGACTTGTACTCAGCAAAAGGGGTCCTCCCATAAACCATTTGGTAAAGTATGCACCCAAGGGACCAAATATCTGAAGGTCGGCCACATTTTATAGTATTTCCATTTGCATCACTCTCATTGCACATGAATGCCTCGGGAGACATGTAGCTAAGAGTACCCACCTACAGTGGAAGGATACAAAAGCTTTATGAATTCCATGAGTGATCAGGTGATTAATTGCCATAAACTATGTTAGGTACAAGAGATGTTGCTGTAAAGATACACATGAAAGACCCAAAACATCAAGCACTCTTTTTTTGACCTAATAATCAACCACTTGCAAATAAATTTTAGATACAATACATAATGTTGCTACACAGCGTATATAAGTAGCAGTATCTATGTCATAATAAACGTAAATAAAAGTGCATTCACCATCATTATCTTGAAAACCATCAAAGTTCTAAACCGATAAGAACAGTAAATTTGATTAAGAAACTGTAAAATTAAAATTTTGATTAATAAAACCAAAAGGACCAAGGTTTCCAATAGTGCTTTCAATCAAAAGTTGGAAAGAACAATGAATAACAAGTACCTGCGAATCCCTTTGGATGTTGGTTGTATCACTCATTATGGCTTTGGCAATACCAAAATCAATAAGTTTTAGAGAACCTTTTACAAGAAGGAAATTGGCTGGCTTCAAGTCAGAGTGCACAATACGTTCCTCATGTATAGTGTTGACAGCTTGAAGTATTTGCTGCAAATTGCTTCCAACAAACTAATGTAAATATTCTGCTTTGTTGAATAATACATAATAATATGAAGCTAAGACTACATGAATGGCACACAATTTTAAACAGGATAATATCAACTATCCCTGCCTTCAATTAAAAAAAAAAAGAGTCTAAATCAACTCGCTGAAGAAGATGAAAAAAGGCATGCGACTTCCCCTAGTGGCAGAGGTGGAAGTCAAAAAAAGAATCTTGAGGAACATGGAGAACATAAATACATAAAGTACAAAGATTCTGCTTTCGTTTTTCCAATTATAGTAAAATAATGATTGGATATAAATCCATATTTTCCTTAAGAGTGACACTTGGAGCAATGGTAGGTTTGCTCCATTGTGACCTGCAGGTCACTGCAACAAGTTGCCAAAATAGCCACAATTGCACAAGGCTAAGGTGTGCAGATCTAACCCTCCCCATGCTAATAAGCATTACAGATCTGAACATTCATGAACACAAGAAAACGCCATCACTCTTAGCACTTGAAACCTGTTTGGGCTGACTAGAGTTGTTGAAGTAAAGCTTTATGACATGTGCTATCATGTTAAAATTATTTGAAACAACTAAAAATATCTTTACATGTTTAAAGCTTTACTGATTTTCTCTAACAACATCACATCACAACTCTTTTCAGAAATTCAATTTTCAGCTTCTGAAGTTAAGACTCCAAAAGCTCCTTTTTAGTTTTTACAAAAGCTACAAGTTGTTTTTCAAAATCCTTGTTTAATCGAACTTTAGCTTTCTGTTAGCATTTGCTACTCCAAAGACTGGGGCCAAGCATCACCTCATGGCATGTGTATCTCTGTGTCTATGTTTCTGGGAAAATGATCAAAGACAAAAGGGGGAGTAAAAATAAGAGAGAAACTTGATTCCCAAAATATAGGAAGCTGAAGAAAGGCTTGACAAATTCAAGTAAAAGCTAAATAAAAATATGCAAACACAAAGAAAAGGACACAATCAGAGTCATCTCAAAAATATAAAATTGTTAGCCTCAATGTAGGAATGTTTATTTAGGTGGACTGCTACTAGAGAAAGCACAGCATGACCAAGCACAATGATCTAGTTGCAAATTAACTTTAAAAAATATTATCATTAGAACATGAAAACATACAATGTAAAAAAGTTATCATTAGCAACAGAGACTCAAGATACGGGATAGCTTTAGAACCTGCCAGTAAAATCGAAGCCAGTTCTCATCTATAGTCTGATTGGAGCTACCCATTTCCTTCCATTTCTGGGATAGCATGTGAGCCAGATCAATTTCTCCATATTCAAGTACCATGTATAGGTAGCCATCATCCTTGACTCTACCATCTTTATTTGACATGCAACCATTCCTGACTTCTCGAAGCAGATTCTTATCTGTCACCTAATATCAAGAAAGACTATTATTAAATATTCCCCACAAACTGCTTCAGGCTAAATCCTAGCAACAAGAAAGCTTCACAAGATATAACACCAAAGTTCAACTCATTTATCGTAATAATATGATATACATTCTCACCAATTAAGATCTATTTTTACATGCATGTGTGCCATAAGGAATTTTTCTAATGTTCACTATGGACCACTTGACAGTGACATTGTATGTGCATTTCCTTGCATCAGAGCAATTGTGGTGAGCTATAAAATTATCTTTCAAAGGTGATAGATCCCCTCCCCCTCCCATGCCCCCACATTGGACAAGTTAACAACTCCAATGACCATAATATTTTCCAAATAGTCATAACTGCAGAAAATAAGACATTATTAAGTTCCACAGCATATGAACAACAAATGGCCATGAAATCAGTCTGCATATCAACCGCCTACTTAGACCAACAATATCACAAAACCTTCATCGGGTAAAAAGTTAAAAGACCCCTAATTGAAGCATCTTAGTTTAGCATGAATAAAATGACGGACATGAGTGTCTATTTAACATAATAATAGCAAATCCATGAAATGATTGCTTGTAGATTTGTGTTGTTGGTGAACAAATTGAAACAATAAAAAAGGATAAACTTTTTAGTGTATTGGAAGTAAACACAGGAAAAAGGTTGGAAAGAGGTACCTCATAGTCTATTAACTGGATAATGTTGTTCTTTCCCTTCAACCTGTTTAAATATTCAATTTCCTGGCAAAACCCATATGCAGTAGCATAGTCACGACCTTTGAGCTTGATTTTCTTAAGTGCATATATTGTACAATCTGATGAAATGACTTTGTGGACCTCACTGCTTCCTCCACTGCCTATCTTTCCAAGCCTTTGATACAGCTTTCCATTCACTTTGAAGAACAAGTCAGGATCATAATTCCGTTTCCGAGGTGCTGATGCTCCTTTACTACTTGGAACCTTCCCCTGCTTCTCTGCTTTAGAAGGCTCTAACTTGACATCTGAAGTCAAGTCTTTCGACAATGGAGCCTGAGATTGTATATTAGTGACATCACCTGCCAAATCTTGCCCTTTGGTTGACTTATTATACTGAGGACAAGATTCAGGATCCTTTAAAAGTTCATTTTCATTTGCCAAGCTTCCTTCTTGCTTTTTGGACAAGTCAAATTTCTTAACCTCCCCTTGAGCATCATTACCAGAGGTAGATGCCTGAGCTGGAAGAGCTGTTTGATTAACTAACATTCTGTTCATCTCCTTAGTTGAAGGAAATGGTTGCTGCAACATATCCACTTGATTTACAAGTTGATGATTCACATCAATATCTCCTAGGGATTCTTTTGCCACGTGAGAACCCCCTTCAGAATGAGAATGAGAGCAATAAGTTGTCAGGTTAAGCATTGGAGCTGAAGATGAATGTATAGATGTTGTGGTAGCACATGATGACCCCACAACTGAAGATTGAGTGAGGGGTTGCCCTAAAAAGTTTCTTAACTGATGTAGCTGATCTTGAATAATTGTAGTTCTTTTTGCCAGAGAAGAGATTGCACCCTCAGGCTTCAAATTGATTTCAGATTCTGTGTTCCGAAAATGCTGGTGCTTGGACTCATTATTTACCACAGTTTGTGCTTCTACTTGATTGACTGTATCCCATTCCATTTCTGTCAAGGCAAGTGAACCCATATGAGATGATAAGTTCTCCAATCCAGTGGCCATTCCATCATGGGCCCCTGCAGATTAAATGAGAAGAGGGAATACATCGCGGAGCATAGTAACAAATTCAGGAACTAAATATAATGAGCTATAATTCAACTATGTTTGTCACGATGTCGCAAAGTATGGTGGCAAAGAAGAGGCTAGAAAAAGACAGATTAGCAATTTAAAGAGCATTGCAAAACATATTACCCTGAGAACTGACATGGTGTCCAGGTAAAAGCTGAACCTTTCTTTGACCATCAACATGTTGAGATTCTACATCCCGCGAAGGGATCAGATTATTCTCTTTTTGATCAACAACCTCCTTAGGTTGATCTCGATCCACATCAAATGGGTTGAAATTTTCATCAAAGGTTTTGGTGATAGTTCCCGTAATAGAAGGTGGCGTAATGGACGCATCTTCTTGAGATTCCCCAGCAATAATTTTGTCCTTGACCAACTGACCATGACTTAATGAAACACAATCCCGAGACTTGTTAGTATCAACATTAGCACCCACATTTCTGGAAGCTGTGCGCTGGGGAACCACCATTCGTCTAGGCATTATACCATTCGTCTGCACTGTACCTGGAAACCCTCAAAAGTTCCAACATAAATTTACATTTGAACCACTGACATCATGCCCTTAGCTAACAAAATTCATCCAACATTTCATGATTTTATTCATTGATAAAACCATACGATCAATATAAGCATAATTAAATAAACCTAAAACCAAATAAGCACCCTAAATGTCTAATTCCACTAAATGAACTTAAATAACTTGCTTGAGACCAATATAAACCCTAAATAGGTAAAAGGAAATCAATAAAAAAAGTAAATAGAAAAAACCCTAAATGAAACTAAATTTAAACAATAAGTAAAAATTTGGGTTCATACAACAGTGAAGAACACTAAACTTGAAGGAGAGAGATGACGGATACCGAGAGAACGATGGCGCTTGAAGGCAGCCTGGACATCACGATGAAGCCGGGCGGGGAGGAAGATGATGACGTGGAGAATGACGTGTCCTGATTGGGGATCGTGCGAGCGGTTGGTGGGACCGGAAGGTTAGCCTCCTGCTGCCATGGCCGGATCTCAACGGCATTTCCGGTCTATGAAGAGAAGGGCAGTTGGATGGAAAAAAGAAAGAAAAAAAAAGTTGAAGGATAGGAGTGGCGGGAAACAGAGACTCAATCGGGTGAGGTTAGGGTTACCGTAATGTCGCCCATGAGAAAGAGGAAGCCTTCAGAGAAAGCGGAGACGGTAGAGTGAAAGTTTTCTAAATTTTAAACGGGTATTTGGCGCTCGCATCTTTTTCTTTAAAAAAAAAAGAACAAAATTATTGGATGGGCCTTGGGCCCATTTTCCTCTGGGACCCTTTCATAATGAGAAATTACAATGGGCTTCTGTCAATAATCTTGGGTCGTCAGAAAGAGCCCATAGAACCTTTTGAACCAACCCAAACGAAGACATTACTTTTATACCTAAATCTCCAAATCTTTTATGGGCCACTCCTAAGAACGGGCCTTCCTTCGTTATCATTTGGATTAAACTAGCGTTCAATTGCTTCTTTGCAATAAACATAGGAGAGGACGGATGAGTTTTTTGACAGTCCATAACCATAATCCATAGACTATGTAAGCTAAAACGTTCAGCTAAGACATTTATACATGTTCATAAATAGATAAATTTCCATATTCAAAATGTGTTGGTGATACAGCAGCACTCTTGCTTTAGCTTTATACACACAAACAAATCCAAGCAATGAACATCAGCTAAATGCATTTGCCAATTAATAACTTTGTGATAATACAAGTTTTGGTTTTTTCTTCTTTTAGTTGGGGGAGGGAAGAATCTAATCATGTTTTTTAAATGAAAGATTATACACTAATCAATAAATTAAATACTTAAATATATAATATAAATTTTACTTAAAACTTAATTTAAATCAAATATATTTAAAATTTAAATACACGAGATAAAATTAAGACTCTTAATCACAAAGTTAAAGTTTCCATTCGTACATACAGAAGCCAACTTTACAAATCATCCTTTCCCCACAATTTAACGCAAAAAGCTTCCCAAACGTTAAATCAACGGCCAACTCTGGAGTCGTTAGGGTCTTGCAGTTTCTGAATCTGAACTTCCAATGCCAATCCAGCCCTTTACTGCCAACGGTTAGTAGACTACTGAAGCTAGCTTTGTTAGAGTTTTCTCCTTTTTTTTTTTTTTTGAATCACTAGTGTTTCTTTTAAGCTTCTCACCTTTCAATGCTTTCTCTAATGTTTGCCTTTAAGGGTTAAAGTTTTGAAAAGCAGATGCACCAGATATAATTAATTCCTAACAAATATAGTATAATAAGTTGCTGGAGAGTATTCTTTTGGTTAATAAACAACACTAGTAAAGCTTTATTCCAGGGGAAGTGTGGCATAATTTTGAGGCAAAAGGAATCAAGTAGCTTTTTCCCATGAGAGGGACCATAATGGTGTAATCAGTAAGTTTATCTTGTTGTTGGTGTTGGAGCACTCAGCCCCAAAAATCCCACCTTGGGGGTACCCTACGATACACCCCTTACCCAGATCCCATCTGCACTCCTCTCCTCTGTCTATTTAACCCATTTAATATCTCTGCATTTTCTTCTCAAGCCAATGGGAAGAAAATAATAACTAGTATAATTTGTTCATACAATTTGAAATTTGAATATAAATAAATCGCACTAAGCTGAACTGTAGTATAAGAAATAGTATATAATTCATACCCATGTTATAATGTCTAATGAGGTATTTTAAAATTATTAAAAATATAATTAAATATAGTTAACTAAAATTAATTATTTATCAATAAAATTAAAATTGTATATATATATATATATATATAAGTGTTCAATGGTCAAGCTACGCTCAAACTTAAGACCCGACTTGACTTCGAGCGAGATTTGGTATAGATTTGTAGGTCCAAGTCCGACCCAACTTTGATTATATTATTTTATTAATAAATAATATAATTTTCATTTAATTTTAACTTTAAAAGTATTTAAAAAATATTAATATAAAAATAAAATATATTTTTATTTTATTATAAACTAGTAGTTAAATAAAATAGTCTGGGCTTGGCTTTAAAAATGAGAGGCACGACAGGTCCGACTTGACACACCGCAGACATCCATCAATAATGCGTAAAAGAGCTTAGACAAGACACTTTTAAGAAATTTTCTTAAAATTAATAATATTCTAAAGGAATAGAAAATCAATTATTGTTCTTCTGAGATTCTTTTAAACAAACACATTCAAAAAACGAAATGTAAATGAAGACTGAGAGAGTTTAAAGAACGATCGATCTTCGTATGGATATTGTTGTTAATGTTTGTAGAAAGCATTTATAAGCTTCAAAAGATGGTTTAGAACACCTATTCACAAATGATTATGACTCTTTTCAAAATTTTGTAATTTTTAATGATAAAAAATCACTTCAATGGTTTTGATGTTTCAAATTTTTTTACGTTTAGTTAATTATCATAAATATTTAGTCAATTAATTTATATTTTTAATAAATTAATTATTCACTTAATTGATTAACTAATAAACTAACTTATTTCATAAACAAATTTTAAGCTTAAAATCACTGTTGGAAAGTTCAACACTTAATTCTTATGAAAAAGCTTAGGGTCTCTTTGGTATAAGGATGTAAAGCACATTCCCTATAATATCATTTATTAAATTATATTACAGTGTTTGTTTTGTAACAGACCATTGGAATGTAAGATTGCAATGCAATCACATTACAGCCAATGAATGTAATATGATTGCAGTCCAAAACTAATGCAATCATATTACATTACACTTTACAATGTTCTTAAAGATAATTTTACTTTTCAACTTTCTTACCTTATTAAAAGTATTTTATAATGCTATAATTAAAATAAAAAATATTAAAATAAAATATATAATATAAGAATAAAAATTAAAATATAAAAAATTAACATTTATATAATATAGGTAAAATAAATTAAAATAAAATATATAATATAAAAAATATATTAAAGAAATAAAAATAAAATATATAAGATTATAGTAATAAATAAAAATAAAATATATGTCATTAAAAATATATTTAAAATATGATATTATATAAAAATATAAATATATTAAAAATAAAATATAAAATATTATAATAATAAATAAAAATAAAATATATGACATTAAAAAATATTTAAGAAATGATATTATATAAAAATTAATAATAAAAAAATAAGTATATTAAACTTATATTTTAATAATTAAGGATAATTTTAAAAATTAACATTACATTTTCAGTAAAGTACTTGTAAACCAAACACTGCAATGTTATCTTCTCTGCATTTTAATCATTATTTTACTTGTATACCAAACACTGTAATGTTATTTTTCTTGTAATCATATTGCTTGCAATCATATTACTTGCAATTACATTACTTGTAATCACATTGTATTGTAATGTACCAAACGTCACTTTAATGTTGGTATACTATAAAAATTATTTTTATAATTAATAAATGTATATATTTATGTGTATATATATATATATATTTACGGTATACTGAAATGAACATTTTTTCTGTTTCACAATGCATGCTGTGTCTGGTAGTTACATTTTTTTTTCTTTTTTATTCCTGATAATTACGTATTTAATATTTTCCTGGTTATGCCTTTACTGTTACCGGGGATTTATCCATCGCAATCCCATATGAGTAATTTGATGCTGGGATCCACTTTTGTTTCTTGTCCATAAGATCCAAGTATCTACGATGAGAATCAACGGCCTATAAGCTACCATGAGGCTTACGTACAGAGAGCAATTAATTTATAAATAAATCCAATTTGCTAAGAATAGCCCCAAAAAGAAATACCTTCAAATCTGAGCTCAAGCCAGTAGGCATCTTCGCAGCTGTATCAGCTACATGTCTCTGACGGCAGCCTATATCAGATTCTGATATATAACAAAAAAAAACTACAACCCATCATTTTGTCTAGCCCAACTAATTTTACAGAGTAGCAGATCTCCTGAGAAATGGCTGGACCTACTCACCAAAGAAAACCAACCAAGGAAACTCACCAAAAGAAGAGGCCTCAGAAGAATGACAAACCACCCTCTTGGGCAGTTGTGAAAGGCCTTTTCTTTGGTAAACATCCCCAACCACAACAAGAGCAACAGCAGCAGCTGCAGCTGCAACAAAAACAACATCAGCAGCAACAAAAGCAAGTGCAGCAGCAGCAGCAACAGAAGCAACAGCAGAAGAAGAAGCAAAAGGAGCAACAACCAGAACAAGTGATGGAAGAAACGGGCAAGAAATGCAAGAAAATGAGGTGTTCAGGTTCATTATGTAGCAACACTAAGGTGATGCACAGGCCTGAAACAGCTTCCCCTGAAGTCCACAAGAAAAGGGCATCGCTTGGTTCAAGTAACAATGATGCCTCTAGCAGATCCATGAAAGCCCCTCTGCATGAGCTCAACGGAGTCGTTTCTTCTACTAATTCTTCACTTTCTGTTTCTTCAGCATCAGCCTCCTCTGCTGGTGGGTCTTTTAGAGGAATGCCATTTAGGAGATTCTCTGGCTGTTATGAGTGCAGAATGGTGGTTGATCCTGTTCTTGGAATAGCTAGAGATCCTTCCTTGAGGGGTAGCATTTGTTCCTGTCCTGAATGTGGCGAGATATTCATGAAAGCTGAAAATTTAGAGCTTCATCAAGCTATTAGGCATGCAGGTAATTCACTTCCCTTGAAATCTTCTCCTCCCCTGTCTTAGCACTTAAACCTCTTAAACTTTTTTCCTTTTTGTTAGCTAATTAACAAACTGATTCCATTCCTTCATTTTTCTGTTCATGTCTCCTCTTTTCTTTCTTTTAAGAAAGTTTACTTGTCTGACCATTATACTATTGATCCTTTTTTCCCTTTCATTTTCCTCGCCTTTTTCTTTTCTAGTAACGTCAATCTCGATTTCCTGTTTATCATATTAATTATGAATGTATCGATAATAAACATCATAATCCGACTTTTCTGTCTCCTGGCCTGTAAATCCACAGTATCTGAACTGGGTCCTGAAGACACGAGCAAGAACATAGTGGAAATCATATTCCAGTCAAGCTGGCTAAAGAAGCAAACACCCATCTGCCAAATCGATCGCATCCTTAAAGTCCACAACACCTCCAAAACCATCTCCAAATTCGAAGAATACCGTGATTCCATCAAATCCAAAGCCACCAAGCTCCCCAAGAAGCACCCACGTTGCATAGCAGAT